TTTAAAGGCATGAAGTACCATTGCATGCCATAACATGGACCACCTTTAAAAACATACAGCTGAAAGAAGCTGGTCATAAAACACCACATGGAATGCCTCTCTACATGCAGCCATTCTCCACACTGCCTAACAGTGGTCGTCTGCACATTCCCTGGTGGCCCTGTAAAGAATGGAAGGCAGGAGAGATGGCTTGCCGGGGTAAGAGCTCTTGTTGCTAGAAGACCTGAGCTCAGTTTCCAGCATGTTAGCCGGCAGCAACTGCCCTTAACTACAGCTCCCTGGGCTCCAACTCTCTCTTCTGAACTCCGAGGGCAGCTACACTCTTGTGCCCAACCCTACCCCCCCTATACACATAATTAAAAAGAAAAATAAAACCATTTATAAAAAGATTAAAATTGCCGGAACATTCCAACTGCCTAGTGATTTTGTACTCACGGAGCAGGGCACAGCGCATGAGTCACGTTCTGTGGTGACAGTGGTACAAAGAGCCACCTCACCGCAGGCTCTGAAAGTAGAGCGTGTACAATTATGCAGAGTAAATAGCACTGGATAGTTAATGACACATGGCTGTGTCCCTGGCTTATATAATTATCGTACTAGTTTATTGTTATTTTAAAGTATACTTCTTCTACTTACAACAATTTTACTGTGAAAGCAGGATGCCTGTTTCAGGAGTAGCAGCCTCCTCAGCCCCACTGAAGCTCTCTTCATGCATCCAGAAGTCACATCAAGTGACTGACTCAACTCTTTCAGTTTGTGTAAGCACACTCTATAATGTTTGCATGATGACAAAATCATCTAGCCAGGGATTTATCAGGACATACCCTAGTTGTTAATACAGCGTGACTGGCCATGGACTGGAGTATGGACTAGATAACTCCACGGAGACATAAAGTTGATTCACAGTCACTGCTTGCTAGAAGGAGGCTGAATAAACTATTACAGGGCTTTTCTTACAGATTATGAAAACACTCTGGAATTAGTGGTGCCAGTCACACAGCTATGGACATTATATACTTTGTTTCATTTTTTTAATATTTATTTTGCTTCGTTTTCTGAGTCAGAGTCCCACTCTATAATCCAGGCTGACTTTCAAACTCATAATCCTCCTGCCTCAGCCTCTGGAGTGCTAGGATTTATCGGTGTCTGTGCTACCACACCCTGGCTAGTCATTGTATACTTTAAGTGGATGGGTCGAATGGTATTTGAATTCATAGACACACACACACATACACACACACACACACACACACACACACACACACACACACATATGCACGCACGCACACGCACACATGCGCGCGTGCACGCGAGGACGGGGGATGGGGGGTGGGGTGGGGTGGGATGGCGGGGAGAGTTGTATTCCTGTGGAACCTGAACTACTTCAAGAGTGGTTTGCTCACAGACCTCGTCACAGGAGCCTTTTCACAAGGCTGCCCCAATGACAGTGACAGGCCCTGCTTCCCAGCAGGAGCGATTCCGGAGAAAGGAAAACAGTACCTTCTCCAAGCTGGGAGTTTGTCACTTGCAGCACATTTTACCTGTCGGAGCAAGTCACTGAGTACAGCTTTTACTCAAGCAGAGGGTTTAGGTGCCTCCTTCTGAAGGGAAGAGTATCAAAGAACTTGTGTGCATATTTTTGAGCCATCATGGCTTCTAATGGTGCTCAATGAGGTCCGTTGGTTTCTTACTTTCCCTCAATTCTTCTTTCTTTTCTTTTCTTTTTTTGTTTTGTTTTGTGTTTTTTTGTTTGTTTTTCAAGACAGGGTTTCTCTGTGTAGCTTTAGAGCCTGTTCTGGATCTCGCTCTGTAGACCAGGCTGCCCTCGAACTCACAGAGATCTACCTGGCTCTGCCTCCTGAGTGCTGGGATTAAAGGCATGCACCACCACCCCGCCCGGCCCAGTTCTTCTTTCTTTCTGAGACAGGGTCTCATACAGTCCAGGTTGATCTTGAATTTGCTATGTAGCTGAGGAGGGGGAGTTCCTGGTCCTCCTGCCCCTACCTCCAAAGTGCTGGGATGACAAGCGTGTGCTACCACAGCAACCTGTGCACTTGCAACATCAAATCTAATGTGTTTCTTCCCATTTGCTGAGCTGTTGCGTTGGGCCTCATTCTTTAGTTCCTCTCACTTGGAGCTGGGCACAGTTGTGGTCAGGAGTGCAAGGGACCAAATCCCACCTGGGAATCTTACAGGTGTGCTCTCTACCCAGCATTCCTTTCTCTGTGGCCTGAGATCTCCTGGAGAAGATTGTCCTTTAGTCCCCCACCCCTCTCACTGGTCTCTGAGAGAGCAGGTGACTGACAGCCTAAAGCTGCAGCTCCTTCAGGATCTGCAGCAGAGACCACTGTCTTGTTGGGAAACCTCCAGCTATTGGCAAAACAACTGGGTCACTAGGGCTGGGCTGGCTGGGTCCAAATGGGGCTCCTCTATGGGAAATCTTCACACCAGTGCTTGTTGGCTGGCTTAGACTTGCTAGCCTCCTCTTACCCGAGTCCTTTACCTCCCTTCCCATAGATGTCAGAGCTGAAACATGGCCTGAAGGGTTCCCCTGCCCAGTTCTGCATCCTCTCCTTTTATCTTTATCCAAGTATTTCCTCCGATAAATCTCTTTTGCTTCTAACTCGGTCTTGGCAGCAGCTTCCTTGAGGAGCCAACTGACTCTAGGCTCCGGCCCCTCTTCCACTTCCAGCCTCCATTCTCCCAGGGGAATATGCTCCCTTTCTATGCCCTTTTCCCTGAGCTTGCTCCCCGACCCCCACCCCGCAGCTCTCAGAAGCATGTTCTCTCCAGGGTCTCATCCAGTGCCTGGCACACAGTAAATGCAAAGACTTTTTGTTTCTAAGTGAATTGCATGCTCTGAATCTGGGCACAGCCCGTCCCATTCTCAGAGCACAGAGCACACGGCGCCTTCTGGGTAAAGCTGGGAGTGCCAGCTCTGAAGGCTGGAGTGAGACACCATTCAGGCTAATGGAGAGGAAGATGTTGAGGTGGGGAGACTGGGGTTGGGGGGGTGACAGTGGAGCATCTCCAGGTCTTGGGAAGGTGCACGCTCTCTATGTGCCAGGTGTGGTGTGCACTTGGGAGGCCATAGCAACTGAATCTCTGCAGGTCACAAGCCAACATGGGCCATTCAGTGACTTCAAGGTCAGCCTGAGATACAATTCTAAATCCTCTCTCAAATAAAATAGAACAAAAGCCCCAAAAATACAAATAATAGTGAGTAGCCAAAAAAAAAAAAAAAAAAAAAAAAAAAAAGCTATATAACCAACACATTGGGAAGAACAGATAAAGGGTTCAATTTCCCCTAAATTCATCTTTGAGTGCTGACATGAGCTTTAGGGGTTTTTTTGGGAGGGGAGGGGGTTTCAAGACAGGGTTCCTCTGTGTAGCTCTGGCTGTCCTGAAACTCACTCTGTAGACCAGGCTGGCCTCGAACTCACAGAGATTCCTCCTGCTTCTGCCTCCCAAGTCCTGGGATTAAAGGTGTGCGCCACCACTGCCCAGTGAGCTTTAGGTTTAAACTGAGAAAGAATTGGATTAAATTAGGACAAGAACCTACATGCAGAATCTAAGCAATCCTGGCTGTACGAGGTGGTCCAAAGAGGCTCTTATTTGTTTCAGACCAGTTCTCAGGCGACGATCATTCATATCCAAGGTGCAGTTTAGCAACATAGACAATCACCCTCGTGTGCAGGGTGGTTGTCCTTCAAGGATCTGCTGTGCCTGAATCTAAAGTGGCTGCAGGTTCAGGACAACTGGTGCCCAGGATAGGACACTATAAAAAGGTGACAGCGGCCGGGCGGTGGTGGCGCACGCCTTTAATCCCAGCACTCGGGAGGCAGAGCCAGGTGGATCTCTGTGAGTTCGAGGCCAGCCTGGGCTACCAAGTGAGTTCCAGGAAAGGCGCAAAGCTACACAGAGAAACCCTGTCTCGAAAAACCAAAAAAAAAAAAAAAGGTGACAGTAAGATGAAGTAGGTTGTTCTCTCTGCCTTTAGCCTTGAAGGGGAATGAAATAGGTGAGGTCTCTCAAGTTTCTGGATGGCCACTGCATGAATGATGAGCACACCCACGTGCAGAGGTAGGCAGGAGACAGGTGGGGACCGAAGGCAGAGACTCTAGGCTCTGGTCCTGCTTTTACCTGTAGTTACCAAGTGAGGAAGGAGTCAATGCTCTTTTAGCAAAAACAGTCCCTAAGCATCTGTTACAAAATGGAGCTGCAGATGTTGCTCAGTAGCAGAGTGCTTGATGAGTATGTGTAAGGCCTTGGGTTCTAGCCCCAGCACCATAAAACAGAAAGGGGTGGGGAGAGAAGAGAGACGAGATGGAAAGGAGACCAATCCAGAGACAAATGGAAAGAGGTGGAGCCGGGCGGTGGTGGCGCATGCCTTTAATCCCAGCACTCGGGAGGCTGAGCCAGGTGGATCTCTGTGAGTTCGAGGCCAGCTTGGGCTACCAAGAGAGTTCCAGGAAAAGGCGCAAAGCTACACAGAGAAACCCTGTCTCGAAAAAGAAAAAAAAAAAAAAGACACATAGAATAAATGGGCTGGAGAGATGGCTCAGAGGTTAAGAGCACTGACTGCTCTTCCAGAGGTCCTGAGTTCAATTCCCAGCACCCACATGGTGGCTCACAACCATCTGTAATGAGATCTGGCACCCTCTTCTGTGTACATAATAAATAAATAAATCTTTAAAAAAAGAGAAAGAGGTGGAGAGATAAAGTCAGGAAGATAGGAAGATGGGGCTTGGGGAGACAGAAATGATAAGACTCAGCTAGAAAGAGTGCACAGGCAGATGGGGATATGAGCGAGAATCCAAAAGGAATGGAGTAATGGAGCTGGAGCACGGTGCACACACTGGTAATCTCAGCATTTGGAGGGCTAAGGCAGGAGGATGCCGAGTTTGATACTAGCCTGGGCTATTTAGCAAGACCCCACCAAAGAAGAAAGAAGGGGAGCAGGAGGGGGGTGACAGGACAGGAAAAAGACTGGTTTCTTGGACAGACATCCATTCTTTATTCCCACGATGCCTGCTGTCAATCAGGGTGGCGGAGGCTCAGAGGAAGGCATACACCCCTGTCCAACCACTCGTTTGGACCTTGCTGTCCTCTGACATCCTGAGGGGACACAAGGTCCAGCTCCTGTCTGTAGACTGATGTGGCCACCCAGGCGGAGTAGGAAGAGAAACCCCAGGGCTCCCTTGGGGCCTGTGCTGCCCCAGCCTGCCTTCCCGTGGGGCCAAGACAGGAAGAGGTCTCAAAGATCCTCCCCACCATACTTCTTTGCAGAGGAGGAACACAGGGACCTAGATAAGACAACGTTCCCCAGTGAGGCAGTGCCCTAACCACAGTCGCACAGTTCCCATCCCAAAGTGGGTAGCTACAGACACAGTGGACCCCAAACCTTAGGGTTGGCTTTCTCCTCGATAAGCTGCTTCCTGCTACCCTGAGAGCGTTAGTGAGTGTTTTGGATGGCAGACGCTGTGCCTACATTAAGAGGCTTGCCTAACATCCCATAGGTAACTGCAGGGATTGCTCTGGTTATGCAGAAGAGGAAATCAAGGCTCAGAGAAGTTGACTTCTGAGGCTAGGGTCACACCGTCCCACCTGGATCTGCCAGATCTTTCCAAAGCTGGGCTCTTGATATGACCGCTTCCGGCCTTTCCAGGTGATGGGGAAGGAAGGGTTGGAATGTGGAAAGGGGAGCTGAGCTGGAAGTCAGGCCCCATGGCAAAAGAAAATACCACAACAATGCCAAACTTTTTCCCAGAAAGGTTCCACTCGGCTTGTTTGGGTCCCTGCCCTCTCTCCCTCCCCGCCACCACGTCCTCTGCTCCACACCTTCTTTCTCCGCCTCCAGAGAGGGGTTTGATGTCCAGGTTAGTTACACCCATCCTCTTTTGATTGTCCTCAGCTATTTCCCCCCAGGTCAGTGCTAGTTCTGAAGCCACAAAGATGGGCCTCATGACCTGGTAGTCACTCCCCTGAAGCAGCACACTGAGTTTTTCTTCCCAGTACTCTGACTCTGCCATGCTGGGATCTGACCTCCTGGAAAGAGTAGGATGGGGCTGAAGGTGGGCTGGGCCCAGTCAGCCCTAATTCCCAGCCTTTAAACCCCCTCAGCCCCATGGAGCCTGAATGCCATTTAAATTTTTATCATCCTTATGGAGCTTCAGTTTCTATCTTTTTTTGGGGGGGCGGGGTTTGATACAGGGTCTCACTATGTAGTGCTGGCTGTCCTGGAATTTACTCTGTGGACCAGGCTGACCTCAAACTCAGAGATCCACCTGTCTCTGCCTGGTGGGATTAAAGGTGTGCACCACCACATCCAGCTGAACTCGGTTTTTTCATCTATATAATGAGTATAAGTACCAGTTTCACCAGATGGTGGGAATCTGAGTGATGTATCAGCTTGGGGACATGGGAAACAGTGCTGAGTATAACCCTCTCCCCAGTAGAGAGACCCATGTCTTTTGGAGGACACATGATGCCTTCTGGGTCTCCAGGTGGCCGTACTCCTAGAATAGAAGGCATGCAGACCTGGCCCTCTGAACTATTTCTTGCTTATCTGGGGACCCTATCTCTCAAATCCCCAGTGCCAGCTCCGTTCCAGGCTGTTTTCAGGTCCTACTCTAGCTGTGGGTCCCAACCATCCGGCAGGAGTATTGGTGTCGGAGCAGATAGATCTGTGCTTAAAGTCCCAGAGGTCCCAGGGGTCCTGTGGCACTCTCTTTGGAGTGTACCAACAGTCTTTCTGAGAAACAGGTCTTGGGAAGAGCACCAGAATCAATCTTCCTTTCTCAGAAGACTTGGGAACTCCCAGGGTGGGTCCCAGAGTCCCAGCCCTGCCCTCACCTCTTTTACCCGCTCCGGTTGAGTGAGGTCCATGGCCTCTTGCCAATCTTGTAGACTTGGGTGTGGCAGCCACAACTGGGTTAGGAGGACAGGGACAGGTTCCGGGGGTCCCCTCTAAGTCCCTGCTCTCTCTTCTCACTCCACAAGAGACACAGCTTCTCCTTGGCCTCTTCCCGCCATCCCCCACCCTCACAGCGGCAAGGCTTTGGCTCCCACAGACACATCCTTACAGGCTGGCCTGGGGCAGGTGACTGGACAGCACGGAGGGCAGGATAAACGGAGGCGTGGGCCCAGCGATGCATTTCTCAGCCAATCAGCAGCCTGCCCAGCCGGTGGATTCGGTTACAAGCCCAAGATCACCCCATACTCCTGCCTTTCTCCTCCTCCCGCAGCTCCATTCATTGGCCCGACAGACACCCAGGGCCTGCCGGGCATTGCTTCCGATCCAGCCTCAGCAGCTGCCTCCTGGGTAGCCAAAGGCAGGCCTCCAGGGGGCTTTGTCTGACCAGGCTGGCCTAGGACAGAATGGGGTTTCTGGGGGTTCTGCTGGGGATGCTGACTTTCCTAGGGGTTGCTCCCCGGGGCTCCCTCACCCTTCACTGGAACAGTACCTCCTGCTACTTGGTCAAGCTCATCCCTGGTAGCCCTCCGGGCTCCCTGAGCTTCTTGGGCAAAGATGCCCAAGGCCTGGCACTGTTCCAGGCCCTCTGGGATGCTCACTACAGGCTGAAGGTATGTATCCGGCAGGATGAACCTGAGCTCATCAGAGCTTTCAGGGCCCTCTGTACTCGTGAGCCCTGGAGGCACTCCTTCATCCACACCCCTGGACCTGAGCTGCAGAGAGCACTGGCCACTCTGCAGAGCCAGTGGGAGGCCTGTCAAGGGTCTGAGGCTAGTCCTACAGGAGCCAGGGAGAAGCGAGCAGCAGGGCAGAGTGGAGCACCAGACCGAGGGCATGGTCGAAAGAGGAGAGGCTGGACCATTCCTGGCACGCTGTGGTGTGGAGTTGGGAACTCTGCTGAGAACTCCTCAGAACTGGGTGAGCCACAGGGTTGTATATATGTGTGTGTGTGTGGGGGGGGGGGGGTTCGTCCTTAGAGAAGTGCCTACCCTTTGAACCTCAATTTTTTTATCTGTAAAATGGGGGCGAGCATTAGTAGCTCTTCACGGCGCACATAAGTGATGTCATGGATGGGAAAGGTCTTACTCAAACCCAGAATCCTCCTCATGAATCACCATCCAAGGGAGGAGGCAGGCTGGGAGGATCCTGATTCTGCTGGTTCTAAACAGCCTCTACCCATGAGGTACTTTAGTGAAAAGAGCCCCGAAGACCTGGGTTCAGGCTGCAACTCAGCATATTCAAACTGACATTTCTTGTAGCTCCAAGTTCTTATCTGTAAGATAAAGGGTCACTTCCCCTTTGGGACTGCTGTGAGCTTGGCTTGTGGGAAACACCCAGGAAGGGCACTATTGCTTGGGCTGTGGTTGTCTGCTGTGTATCTGCACATAGCGCTGGTGGAGGACCTGACCTGAGTGGGCCAGGATGGCATCTTGGCCACCCAGTGTCTTGCAGTACCAGAGAACATGTTGCACCCCACCTGTCTGTCATTCCATTACACATACTTTCATAACTTGGAGTTTTACTTGGGTGTGAGCTTGGGAACTCTGTGAGTCAGCTCTAGTTCTGAGGAAGACGTGTCCACATGCTGGCGTGTGGGCTTCCTTGCACTAGGAGGCTGCAAGCCTGGATGGTCTTCTCTGAAAATGTTGGAACTATGAGTATCGTGTATCCGGAGAACAACTGGCCTGAGGCCACCCATGGGCTGGGATGAGAATGGGGTAAACTCTGCCTACCATGGCCAGGCAGGCAGAGCTGGTGCACGGTCTCCAGGACCCTGCTCTAGCTGGTTCCTTCTTCTCTCCATGCAGGTATGTTCCACGGCCCTGACCTCTGCTGCCGGGAACACGACCAATGCCCACAAACCATCTCACCCTTGCAGTATAGCTATGGCTTCCGAAACTTCCGATTCCACACCATCTCTCACTGTGATTGTGATGCCAGGTTGGCAGCAGAGAGGAGGGCCCTGGGGCTCAGGGGCAGAACAGAGTTATCCAGTACTTGGGTATAGGCACTAGGAATCCAGAGAGTTCTAAAGACCAGAAGCTGGGGCCCCTTCCTCTTCCGACCACCCTCAGTGCAGGTGGGCAAAACTGAGGCCCCAGAAAATGAATGCTTAGCTGGTAGTGTGGGCTGCAGGTGCCAGGAGGCTCTCTGGGGTCCTGGGACCTGAATTCTGGTTCTGCGGCCAGGTTTCAACAATGTCTGAGGAGCCAGCGTGATTCTATTTCTGATATCATGGGCGTGGCCTTCTTCAACGTGCTGGAGATCCCCTGCTTTGTGCTGAAGGAGCAGGAGGCCTGTGTGGCATGGCACTGGTGGGGAGGGTATGTGGATGCCCCACTTGAGTCCTTTCCCAGCCAGCAGGGCAACTTGGGCTCCAAGACCAGGGAGGGAGGGAGGGAGGTTTGTCCGCTAGGAACCATGCATTATTGAGTTTGTCCTTTCTTTAGTGCAGGGCCTGGGGTTTGGACCCTTCTGGGGTATATCATATCCCACAACCCAGTGGGGTGGGGGATAGGAATGGAAGAGATTTAGCCTCTGTAGAGATGACCCTGGGGGCTTTGGGAACAGGAATTCTGGGTCATCAGTTGCCTCAAATTGCCTCCTTCAGGTGCAGGGCATATGGCTCAGTGCCCCTTGCTCATCTTCAGCCCAGGACCTACTACAATGTTTCCTGGAAGGCTACAGACGTCTCACCTACCCCCAGCCCCCAGAGTCCAGCCCCCAGCCAACACCCCCAGAAGAGGCTCCCAGAGCAGACACAAGCCGGGCACCAAAGCACAGCCACCACCGCCACGGCCTTCCAGACCCCTGCGGTCTCCTCCATGCCTGATATGGTCGCCAGAGCCCAGCCAGGAGTCCCCCATCCAGGCTATCAGGGTGGCCCAAAACTTCAAGGTGAGTTTAAAACCAAGTTTTAGGGGGTGGGGTGAGTGGGTGCTCTTGCCTCTGCACGCAAATGTAGGTGTTGCTTCTTTTCTTGTTCTAAACACCTCCCAGGGCACCCCAATTTTCCTCATCAGATCTTATGATAGCAAGGCACTTCCATGTTCCATAAGTTGGGTCATGCCACGCCCTGTTGAGTCCCTCACCTCTCACAATATTAGCTGATGGAATCTCAACACTCAGAACCCTCAGGGCCTCTGGATCCTACCCTTGAGCTGAACCTTCAGCTTCACAAACTTCATTTGCTTCCTCAAATGCCGACTGCAAGGGTTAGATGTACCCAGTTGGATGAACTGAGAGGCGAAGCTTTTGTCTACAACGTGCATGGCCCCGAGTTCCATGCTTAAGCCCGGAAAATACAAAGCTGAAGCCCCCGCAACGTACTTTCACCGCTATGCTTTGGCACATGCTCTCTTCCGTTGGAAGCCCTCTCTCTCTCTTCCTCTCCCAGACTCACCTTCATAGTCTCTATGTCCAGGAAGCCTTATCTGGGATCTCCAGACAGTAACTGTGCATGGGGTGGGAGTAGTTCATTTTATGTGGGTGACATTCTGTGAACAGAGGGGAGGAGATAAAAGAGGACTGTGTAACTGTACTGGTGTGTCTCCTGGATGGTGGCAGGCACCGGTGAGGCCTCCCTGGTGGGCCAGGCTCTCGTTATTACCACATCTGCCCCCAGGTGCCCACCGAGTCTGTCGAACCCTTCGACACCTGGACCGGTGTGAACACCAGATCAAGCCTCAGGAAACCAAGTTCCATCTGCTCAATGGTGCCCAGATGCCCCTTTTCCATTGCAATTGCACCCGCCGGTGAGGCCTGCTGGGGGGCTTGGGGAAGGGGAGCTGCCTGCTGCCAGATTGTGCAGAGGCACCTGGCAAGGCTCTGGCATGGCCTGAGCCTGCATCTACCTTCAGCCTGGCACGTTTCCTGAGGCTCCACAGCCCACCTGCGGGCACCAACAAGGTTTGGGAGCTCCTGGGAACCACCTGCTTCAAGCTTACCCCCCAACTCGACTGTGCTGAAGACAAAGGGTGAGCCATGGCAGAGCCAGGAGGGATGGGGGGGCCTTTGCCAAGGGCTGGGTTTGCCTATATAGAGACCAATTGTGTGCTTGGGACAGGAGGACTGGGAAAGGGTCAGAGGGGCTCTGAATTCCATTTGTCGCCGTCCTTCTGACTCATGCTGCCCCGGGCCCAGCTCTGCAACAGGCCTGGGTGGGTGGGGGATATGTGTGTGTGTGCCTAGGCTCTGAGATTTAATTCTCATAAATCCGTGATAAGCTGATTCGCCTTTGCAATCCTCTACTACTTCCTCGTCTGTAGAATGGCTACAGGAAAGCCAGGTGGGGGGTGCATGCCTGTAGTCCCAGTACTTGGAAAGCCGAGACAGGAGAATGTACTTTGAGGCCCAGCTGGGTTAGATAGCAATTTTAAGACCAGTCTAGGATGCACAGAGAGATCCTGTCTCAAACAAACAAACAAAAACATGGCACAAGACAAGGAAAGAGTGGATGTGCCGTATATAGCTCAAGACCTGCTGGATACGGAGTGGGGAAACTGAGGCTCAATTGCTAGCTTCAGTATGGAACCTAGGCCTCTGGGTACCAGCCCAGGTTCATTCTGCCTCATCTGGGAATAGCCAGGCCCTCTCTGGCTTGCTGGTGACCCTGGCCTCACACCTGCTCCTCTCTGGGCCTTGGTTCCATTTTCAAAGCAGGGTGGGATTCTGCTGGCCTTGACCCCTTCTCTCCCCACAGCTGTTCCAGAGACCACAGGGCCATCAAGGTGTCAGCTCGGCACTTGCGGAGGCTTCAGCAGAAACGGCTCCACTTCTGGGGTAACGGCACAGAAGGGACTCTGGCCTGGCCTCTGGAGCCTTCAGCGACCTCCAGGTCATTCTACAGCCAGTGTCTACAACTAACCCCAGCAATCTGGAGACCCGGTGGACAGAAGAAATTCCGGAGCTCATGACCTCAGGCTAGCAGCCTGGGTGCCAGCCTGGACCTCCTTCCTGGCTTTGCTATGTTCTGAGAGGAACAGCATGGCTCTTGTGGACAACAGGAGGCTTGATGGGAGGAACCTCAGGGCCCGAATGCTGGGCCACATCTGCTGTCCTGGAGGACCTGGAGCTGGTGCTACAACTCCTGTGTCTGTGTTCAGGAGGCTCTTTCTGAAGCCTCGGGTTTAGACCTTGCCAGGAAACATCACACACAGGTGGAAATGGGGTACCAGAAGCAGGGACCTGACTGTCCCTGTTGCAAAATGAACATGTCTTGAGATCTGCCCCGGGGAGCCTCAGCACCTGGCTGTGAGGCCTAGAGCTGCAGGTGGGAAAACAGAGCTCCAGCAGAAATACCCGGATGTGAATCCAGCATGGGGAGCCTCCTCGCAACTCTCCTCACTGGAGACCCCGTCTTTTAATAGCTTCTGGGCCCTTCCTAGCCTGAACTAATATTTCTGCTCTAACTCTCAATTGAAATCTCCTCTGTGCCCTTGAGGAGTTAGGACAAAGGACCTCCTTTCTCCACTCTGAGCCTTAGTTTCCTCCTCTGAAGAGAGGAGGGATTTTGTTGGTTTTGTTTTTTGTCTGAGCCAGGGTTTAATTGTAGCCCAGGCTGGCTCTGGCTATGTACACGAGTATAACCTTGGACTTCTGATCCACCTTCCTCTACCTCCAAGGGCTGGGATTACAAGACTAAGCCATCACACCAAGTTTTATGTGGTCCTGGGGTTGCTAGGCAAGCATGCAACCAACTTAGTTACACCCCCAGCCTGAAAAGGGGAGCCGTAAACATGAACTACCTCATATGGCTGCTGAGGAGTAAGTGAATTAATAAACACATATACAACCAGTAAGCATTCTCTTCCTCTAGTACATAGCCTGACTGAGTTTTGTTGTCTGCTCTTGAGATGCTGGCAAGACCTCTTGGAGGCTTCAGTTTGCCCATCTGTGAAATGGGTCTAAGAATGGCACTGAGCACTCAGTATTATGGTGGAGATGAAAGGAGATGGCATGTTTCCATACACAGCTGGTGCCTAATATGTGTTGGTTCTGTCACTCCCTCACATCTTTAATTCCTACCACCCTCTATCTGCAGACTACTCACAAGTCAGGAAGGAGCCAGGAGTGAAGCTGGAGAATTTAATTCCTAATGGATGACCTCCAAGATCAGAACATCTGCCAGAGTTTCCCCCCACCATCCCAGATGGGGGCCCAGGCGAGGCTTTGCCGATTGTCACAGTTGAGGTGGTGCCAGGACTGAGTTTGGGGAGCCCCAGTTGGCCACTCCTGGCCAAGACAGAGTGGCAGGTGTGGCAGAGGGCTGGAGCAGCAGCAAGAGAGAGGCAGGCAGGTTTGTGGAAGATAGGGGCAGAGCGAGGCTGTCCAGGCCCATCTGCCTACTCACATCAGGGCCCCAAGCCTCCTTCCTCTAGCCCCAGTCGGCCCTGGGGGCTGGGGGACAGGCTGTTAGGGTCAGGGGCCTCCCGGTCAGGTCCCCAGGAGCCTCCGCCACCAGGGTCTACGGTCTCCAGTCGCAAGGCTGGAAGCAGGCCCAGGCTTCGAGGCACAGCCGGTGGGAAGGCCCAGGGGCCGGGCGGCCCAGAGGGCCCCTCCTCACTGCTACCTCGGCTGCTGCTGCTGTGACCCCTGTCAGGGGCTACCCGAGGCAGCTGGCGGCTCTGGGGTGAGGGACTACGGCTGCCACCCCGGCGTTCACGGGACGAAGGACGGAGAGCGAGACTCGGGAAGCGGGCTAGGCCGGGGCTGCGGCTGCGGTGTCTCTTGGACTTGCCAGGGCTGGGGCTGCGGGACTTGGGTGCGAGCAGCTCCAGAGTGCTGTCATCTTCGCCCTCCGAGCTGGTGCCTGAGCTGTCGGAGCTGCTGCTGGCTGATTCTGAGGTAGGCAGCGAGATCTGGAGAGAACATTAGCCACTTGGGGCAAACCCACTCTCCAAGCCTGCCCACTTCCTCCCTCCGTGTTGGCAGACCCAGAGAGGTTGGGCTGCTGGTCTGAGGTCACAGAGCAGAACACAGAAGATGTAACATTTGACCAGGACTTCTTTGAGGTGCTTTGGCCCTAGGGTCTGATCTATTTACCTGAAAGGGTTCAGTGACGCCAATGAGGATGCTGTGGTGGTGGCTATAGTAACCCAGGATGAAGTCTCCGTGGCCCTTGGGCAGTGATTCCTCACTGAAGGTCACCTGGTGGGCACAGGGGTAGAGGCCCAAGCTGGGGCCAAGGGTAGCCTCAGGACCCCCTCCCGCAAGCAGAATCCTGGTGTCTCCAGGGCAATGGGGCCAACCCTCCTCTCCTTGTAAATACCTGGTAGATATTCCCATCTACTTCTTCATGTTTGGCCCAGACATAAGCCACGTAATCCTTGCAGTGGCGGAAACCCACCTAGGGAAAGAGGAACCAGGGTTGGGACACCCTAATGCCCGCAGCCTCCCAGCAGAGCATCAAACATGCGACAAGCCAGAGATACTCCAGGGGGGCAGGGGGGCTGCAGGGCCCCTCCTTCCTTGAGAGCCCCGGACTCCTGTCCTTCTCACCCGGTACAAGCCGATCCAGTCCCAGGAGCTCCGAGCAAACACTGTTTCCATGCGGTACCTCACCACAGCCTGCTCCGGCCGTGCCCATTCATCGGCTACCTCCAGCCGTACCAAAGGCACATCATCCCTGTCGGCAAACTGCCCAAGCAAGGCAGGGACAGAGGACAATGTCAGAGGAAACCCTGTAGCATCTCACATACCTAGGGCTCTTGGGTAGTGACTCATGCTTGTAATGACGGTATTCCTGGAGGCCGAGGCAGGAGGATTTATAGTTTGAAGACAGCCTGGGCAACACAGCACGTTCTAGGCCAGAATGGGCTATGTGGTGAAACACTGTTCCAAAAACCTGGGAAAACCCAAACCAAACCCAAACAAACAAAAAGTCCTGCCTTCATTCTGGGCCCCTTTTTATCCTTAGCTTTCTTAGGAAGCGAGTGGAACACAGCTCTGAAGCCAGCCAGTTTTAGATTTGGCCTTGGCTCAGCCATTGTTAGATTATACAATGGGTTACTTCCTCAGCTTTTCTGAACGGCAGGCCCTTGTCTATAAACTCAGAGGCCTTGTCTAGTTTTAATTTTTAAACAATTTTGTGTTATGTGTATGAGTATTTTGCCTGCATGTGTGTCTGAGCACTAAGTGTGTGCCTGGTGCCTGAACCTGGAAGTTACACATGGTTCTGAGCTGCCATGTGGGTGCTGGGAATTGAACCTGGTTCCTCTGAAAGAGCTGCTAATGACTGCTTTTAACCATTGGGCCCTCTCCAGCATTCAAGGCTCTTGTTTTATACCTGGGACTGTACTACTGATTCCCTGAAATGCAATTTGTAACATATTCCTCAAACTGCTTAGGTGCTCACTAAATAATTTGCCTAAATGCTAGCAAGGGAGATAGGTAAAGTCCTGTGGTACATGAGATTCTGGGAGAAGCTTGGTTTCCTGGAGCCAACAAGAGCCCAGAAATGGATGGTTGGAGACCTCAGTTCATTTTCTTGCTCTATCACTAAATTGCTGTGTGACCTCAGACAGGCCCTAGCCGCCCCCAAACTCCGTTTCCCCATCTGAATTTTACTATTAAGGGCCCACTAATAGCGGCCTTTGTCGTCCGTCCATGAAGACAAGTTATAATCATGAGTGTTTTCCCCTAGGACCAGCAGGACAACTGGGAGAGTCACCTGGACAGGTGGAATTTTTGCACTGGCTAGCAGCCAGAGTACTGGCCACCTGTGTCCCCAGGAAAGAGCTCAGGTGGTGCCAGCCTCAGGCCTTTGTCTGGTCCCTGTTGATCTGGTTTCAGGTTTCCTTCCCTCAGCCTCTGAGCCTAGCTGTTCCAGACGAAACCAGTACATTCTTGCCCTGTCCCAGGTTCCTAACAGAAGGGCAGGTCGAAATGTGCTCCAATGTTTTACAAGGTCAAAATCCCTACAGAAGCATAGTGGTCCATGTCCATAACCTTAGCACTTAGGTGGAGGCTGGTGATCAGATTCTAGGATGTCCTTGGTTGGAGGCCAGACCAGGCTATTCTCCTGGGAGTTTGAGACCAGACTCTGTTCTCAAAAGGACAAGAAAAATAAAACAAATAAACAAGCAAATCCCCAACCAACTAAAAAACAAGTCCTGTGAGATGGCTCAGTGCATAAAGACGATTTATCCTCAGGATGACCTGAGTTAGTCCCTGGAATCCACATTTGGGAAGAGAGAACCAGCTCCCAAAAGTTGTCCTCCGACCTCTTCCAGGGAGCACGTACCTATACACATAAGTAAATGTAATTAAAAAAAAAAAATCCAAGTGAGGGGCTTGAGAGATGATGGCTCAGTGGTTATGAGCACCGTCTGCTCTTCCAGGGGACCTGGGTTCAATTCCCAGCAACCACATGGTGGCTCACAACCGTCTAGTTTCAGAGGATCTAATTAATGCCTCTCCTGGCCTCCACAGGTACCAGGTACACAGAAACACACACAACCAAAACACCCATATGCACAAAATAAATAAATATCCTCAGTTTCTCCCAACAGTAAAATAGGGAGGAGACTCTGGACATTTCAGAGCCTAAGGCATTCAGGGGTGATGTATGTAAAGTGCCCTGTACACAGCCTAAAATGTAGAAGACATCTGGTAGGTAATTTGGGGTGTTGTTTTTGAGACAGAGTCTCAGTGTATTCCAGGGAGGCCTGAAACTCACTGTATAATTCAGACTGGCTTTGAACTTGAAATTCTTCTGCCCCAGCCTCTAAAATACTGTAATTAGAGAAATTTGCCACTGTGCTTGGTTCAATTGGTAATTTTTATTGTTGTTTGACCCCGGGGTCTCACTATGTGGCCCAGGCTGGCCTTGAACTCTTGATCCATCTGCTTCACTATTCTGAATCCTGGAATTACAGGTGTAGGCCACCAGCCCCAGCTTACACCAACTTTTTAAAAAGTTACTTTCTTTTTCTTTTAGTTCTTTTTGCAATGCTGGCGTTGAACCTGGTGCCTTGCCCATGCTGGGGAAATGCTCTACCACTGAGCTGCATCTCAAGCCCCAGGAAACATTTTTTCCCTACCCACCACAGGAAGGGTGTGTGTAGCAAAAGTGCTGAGAACCTCAAGGTGAGGTATCTGATTCAGGGCTGGGGTGTGGTGGCACATGCCTATAACCCTAACACTTGGGAATCCGAGGGAGGAGGGCCATGAGCTTGAAGGAGCCTAACACAAAGCAAGAAATGATCTAAAAACAACAACAGCAAAAGTTCCCAACCCATCCCTGTCCCAGAGTTCACAGGAGGCCAGGCTTGGGCTGACTGCCATCCCCAGCTGAAGTAGTGGCCGACTGATCACGTGACAAAGTTACCAAGGGAAACATTCTTTGGCCTGCGGAGCTACTTCTTATCAGACCAAGAAATCCAGAAAACACAGCTTAGGTTTCAAGGTTGGAAACATGGGATCTACCCTGGTCTGTTTCTGCCACCAAACCTTTACGTGACTTGGGGCACACGACCATCTTGGTAGGAGTCTAAGGTTAACCCAGAGTAAATCATAGAGTTAGATTACATCATCTGCCAAACAGCTTCTAAGACCATAGGACTGCTCTCTTTTACTTTGGCAACTAGGAACCTCAGCTTTAAACACAATAAAGTCATCCCTGAGCATCCGAGTGTGTTTGGTTTCCTGGAGAGACACTAAAACCCAAGGATGCTGACGTGCCTTATGTAAAACAGTATATAGAATGTGCATGTAACTTGTACATCCCTCTATATATTTTAAATTCTTGAATACTTATGATACTTATATAATATATATAATATAATAACATATAATATGCAAAAG